CAAATTTGTTCTTGAATCACTCCTTGACTAATTCAGATGGCAAATCCAAGAGAATGGGATGATGGAGTCTGTACTACACCATCGATCACTAGGTGAGCTGTGAAGTAACAGTAAAGAAACTAATTTTTAAGACAGGAATCTCACTGCAGACTAAATAAATGAGGAATGAAATGAAGAATAGAATTTGTGAGGCAGGTGGGTTTCTGGAAGCAATGGGATAAATATGATGGAGGGGAATATTAAGGAACAGGTGTTTGGGAGTTTGAAAGATGCAAAACACCACATGAAGAGAAAGTAAGTCAGAAAAAAGTCCTAGATATATGGATCTGTCTAATCATAGAGATAAATAAGATTTCCCTTTGTGGAGTATTTAATTGTTGAAGGTTCCATTCAATAGCACTCTGGATATTGTAGAGGCCTGTGCTATTGTGTGACTATGGATATAGTTACAAACTCACATTTGGATCTGGGATGAGACTTCTGGTTTTGCCAGGTACATTTATGCTGATTTTTTGCCTAATTTGCCAGATTGTTGTGAATACACACCAAGATCCGGGAAATGGCAGCTGTCAAATGCATAGTAGTCTGAGGTCTCACCTTAACCGGTGGAATTTATTCCACAGCTGCTATCCAAGCAGTCTTCCTTGAGGCAGCTGCAGGCAGGCATGTGCTTTCAGTGCTCTTCCATCAATTGCATTCCTGTGATAAGCTAAGACAAAGCCTCTTTTTCCTCTTCTGTTAAGTAAGTCATGTGGATTTGTTCTCTCCTAATGGTAAATCCATGCCACTTCCATTGGCCTCAGGCAGTCAGGGATGATATCAGTCAGATGAAAATGCATCGAAATAAAAGGATGGCTATAATATTGATATGGCTGGACATGAGCCGGCAATGTGGACTCACAGCCCAGAAAGACAACCGTATCCTGGGCTGCATAAAAAGAAGCATGGCCAGCAGGTCGAGGGAGGTGATTCTGCCTCTCTGCTCTGCTCTGGTGAGACCCACCTGGAGTACTGCATCCAGCTCTGGAGTTCTCAGTACAGGAAAGACATGGACCTGTTGGAGTCAGTCCAGAGGAGGGCCACAAAATGATCGGAAGGATGGAACACCATCTCCTATGAGGAAAAGCTGAGAGAGTTGGGGTTGTTTCACCTGGAGAAGGCTCTGGGGACACCTTGTTGAGGCCTTTCAGTACTTAAAAGGGGCTTATAAGAAAGATCGGGACAGATTTTTTTAGTAGGGTCTGTAGCAATAGGACAAGGGGTAATGTTTTTAAACTGAAAGAGGATAGATTCAGAGTAGATACAAGGCAGAATTGTTTTATGATGAGGGCGGTGAAACACTGGAAGAGGTTGCCCGGAGAGGTCATAGATGTCCCATCCCTGGAAACATTCAAGGTCAGGTTGGATGGGGCTCTGAGCAACCTTTATCTAGGTGAGGATGTCCCTACTCATTACAAGGGGGTTGGACTACATGACCTTTAAAGGTCCCTTCCAACCCAAACCATTCTATGATTCTATGATTTAGAAAATATCCACTTATGATGATTATCACCATTTTAGCTAGTCTTTGCTTGTAGCAGAATCCCACCAAGAAACAGTATACTTATAACATTTTTAATATTAGTGTTGCAATGGGAGTTGGACTGCCTTGTCTGGACTGGTTTGTCTGATGTATAGATACTGTATTATCCACAAATATTGCAAGTGCATTCTGTTCGTGAGTGGGACTTGAATTGAGATTTGCCTAGCTGTCGCAGCTATAAGGCCATACTTAACGCTTACTCCTGCTACTGCGTACCTAAGTGAGAGTATATGAATCCTGAAGTAGTAGAATTAGAAGACTTAGATTGCCTTTGGAACTACCTGCGAAGCTCTAAGATCTAGACAGGGTCACAGTGTGCCACTGAAACATGTAAGGAGGTAACTGTAACCAAGGTCAAAGGGGTTCTTGCAAAGGTTTCCTGGGTTGTGTGAATTATGGGAGTGGAGGAGTATACAAGCTGACATTAGGAAAAGGAACCTTGCTGGTGATCAAGCCAGGTGGGTAGTAAATGGTGAAATATTCAGGAGAAAACTTGGACTGAAAGGCAGTGGCCCTAACTACATGTCACAGTGAACAGATATTTTAGGTGATGTTACAGATGGAAAAACAGATTTTTCCTAGTATTGCCCCAAAAAGTGTAACAGACAATTGTAACCAGTGAACGAATGAATGTTTTTTTATTTGATCTCCCTGTTTCTGATCCTGATAATTTTCTAGTAGATTTCTTTGGTACTTTGATGGTGACTTAAATCAGTGTGTTTCATCACTGCTCCCTTAAGTTATTCCCTGCTCTGGAATGTCTGTTGACCTGATTGTCAGTATGCATTGGGAAAACCTGTCTACATTTCTGTAGAGGTTGATACCAGTGTGCCAATCACGGATATGTGAAACTCACATTTGGAACTGGGACCCAACTTCTTATTACCCCAAGTAAGTTTGAGCTTTCTGTTCCATATTAACAGCAGGATATCATTTTGGTGTGAAATAGACATTTACATCTGAGGCAATTCCACAAGTGTAAGAACAAAAGTTCTTCTGACTTTTTGACATCAACATAAAAATGATCTCCCACCTGTTTTTAGAAAGAGATTTTAGGTTGATTCATTTGAAAGGTTTTTTTTCTTACTCATTTCACAAATGTGATTTTTTTGCCTGGCACTACAGGAATCGTTAACCTCTAATTCAGGAAGTTTCTTTTTTTTTGAGTTGAAATTATTTGAATTGAGGGTTGGACTAGATGACCTTTAAGGGTCCTTTCCAACCCAAACCATTCTATGACTCTATGAATTTTTTTCTAGAAACTAAATCTCTGGCATATAAATTTGAAAACTTGTTCTGGCAATTAAAACCCTCTCTGATTTTGGAAGAAAAAGCATGCAAATGTATTTTGTGAAAATGACAGACGTTCTCTGGAGGTTCATGAGCAGCCACTTCAAGTCTTTTTGTTTCCAGATAATTGTTACACAAATGGGTTAAGCCATGTCATTCACTTGTGAGCTTTAAAGAGTGGATTAGATAAGCAGAATTGCTCCCTCTGACCCCCCAAAATCTTTCATTAACATTGTTGAAAGGAGCAGTAGAGGAGATCATAGTAGATCTCTCCCACAGTTTAGGTGATGCATGAGTAAATCTACACATGAACACAAATAGGGTATTGCCTCCCAATATGAAATTTAAGAAAACTTCATCTCAACTTTTTCTTAATGTGAACACATGCTATAAGCCCAGTATTTATCCTGTTTTGGTACTAGAAAACAATTTAGTCCATTGAATGCTTGATTTCTCCTCACATACTAGGTATCTTTCTCTATTAATTTTTGGCTTTAGTTTTGGTTTGGCTAGAAATCTTCCCCTTCAAAGGTTTGTGAGAAAGGTCTTGGATGGTTTTGGCAGTTTGACTTCCCCAAGTGTAATTATAGAGGCAATGACAAACACATTTTTGGGATGGGGACCAGAATTATGCCTGAACCCTATAAGTGATGCAGCATATTCACATTTGCAAATACTGAATCTCTGTATAGAGTCTTTGTACTTTGGATGACTTGGCTGATGCTGGACTAGGACCTGGCTTCTTTTATTTGAGTGCCTCCAGACATGAGCACTGGAAGTCTGGAGAAGGGTTGAGGTACTAAATGTGGACATCTAGTCTTGCTGTAGACATCCTAGTACCCATGCAGCACTGGCAGATTTCACAAAGGACCTCTCATAGACCTTTTCGAACCTCCATTGGAGGACAGCCAGCAAACATCACTAAAGTGCTTGTAACTGGAGTTGCTCCTCTGGGGTCAATATTAGCCTGTATGTGTAAGGGGGTATATATTTCCTCTGAGTTGGGCAATAGCTCCGGGTTGACTTGAGCTGTGGAATATCATGTCTCAGTGTCTTGATTTCAGCTGGGATAGAGTTAATTTTCTTCTTAGTAACTGGTACAGTGTGTTTTGGATTTATGTGACAATGTTGATAACACACTGATATTTTAGTTGTTGCTAAGTAGCACTTATCCTAAGTTAAGGATTTTTCAGTTTCCCATGCTCTGCCAGCAAGGAGCTGCACAAGAAGCTGAGAGGGAGCATAGCCAGGACAGGTGACCCGAAGTAGCCAAAGGGATATTCCATACCATAGAACAACATGCTCAGTATATAAACTGGGGGGAGTTGGCCAGGAGGGGTGGATCGCTGCTCGGGCACTGGTCAGCGAGTGGGGAGCAATTGCATTGTGGATCACTTGGTTTTTCTATTTTTTTCTTTTTTTGTTAAAAAAATATATTCCTTTTCATTACAATTATTATTAGTATTAGTATTACATTTTATTTTACTTTAGTTATTAAATTGTTCTTATCTCACCCCATGAGTTTTACTTTTTTCCAATTCTTCTCCCCATCCCACTGCAGGGAGGGGGGGAAAAGTGAGCGAGCAGCTGTGTAGTGCCTAATTGCTGGCTGGGCTTAAATTACAACACTCAGGCTGAGGAATGGTAAGAGGATCAAAGACCTCTACCACACCAGCTCCAGTCTGACGGGAGATTCAAAGAGTTTGCTTTGCAGGGAGTGGAGAATGAGATAAATCTCTGTATAATACAAGCTGTGTGTTAAACCAGTTCAGGATTTCTACTGCAGCTTGTTTGGAAAAAAAGGCATAGGTCTCAGTCTGATGTTGAAACAGGCTTCTACTGCTCCCTCCCTGAATCAGCCTCTGGAGTTGGCTTCCTCTGTAGACTGGTCAGGCATAGCATTCCAACAGCTACGGCTCTTCCACCTGGAAGACATCCTTCAGTAAAGATGAAATTAGGCAGGGTGGACAGCTCAGAGTATCATAATTTACTTCTTAATCTTTCCTGCAAATACATGTGATAAATATCAATACAGCATCTCCAACACATCCGTCAACTCATTAAGACAGAATAACAGGAAACATAAGTCACAGTGCTGTGGTTATAATAGCTGACATTTACCAAGACTGCTATCTGCAAACTTTCATAACAGTGTGCAAATATGCAAAGGAACTGATCGGAAAAATACTCTAGCACCAGAATGAAGCCAGCAGCCACTCTGAGCAAGAATGAGAAATGATTATTTTGCAAAACAGGTGCTGCTGAAACTGCCTGCAAAAAACAGACCTTATTTTTTTATCTGCTCATGTTAAAAGCATTGCACAGATTGAAAGGGAGAAAAACACCCTAATTTAGAAAGAGGTGGATATGTAGCTTTTCAGAAAGCATAGTACTCATGAAAGAGAAGCAGAACAGCTCAATCAATTCCCCCTCTTCTCTTTCGTATCCATGTACTCCATAACAATGAAGTACCCTAGTTCATCTGTATTTTATAGAGGGATCTACCATCAGGCCTATTATCTGCTCCTGTCTTCCTCTCCCTAACAAATGATCACTGAAATCTGTTTCTAAAGCAAAACTGGGAGTATGGGAGGTGGGAAGTGGTGTTGAAGGAGTCAGAACATACATTAAACCATATTCTGCGTATTTGGGAAAGAAACACTCTCATCAGGTTTTTCAAAGCCAGGGCAAAGCTGGGATAGTTGAACTGCAATTCAGGAGAAGGGCCAGAGAATGACTCATTAGGCATTGTGGACTAGTTTTCTTCTGAGATCATACTAATAAAGAAGTGTGGCTGTTTCTCTAAGGGGCTGACAAATGGCAACTGAACAGGTGAAAAGCACTTATCTCAGTGATAGAACCAGGGTCTGCACTTGCATAAGATTTTGAGACAGTTTGTAAAAGCCAAGATTTAGTCCAAACTTCCCCCATGGGAAAAAATTAAAACTTATTCATGTGGGAACTAAGCTGCCTGTAGTGTTTCTACAATATTTATCAGTGTGGTGTGTGAACAGGGATGAAGCAATTATTAATCTAAACTCCCAACCCTGTATGATAAAACTTCATGAGTTTATAAATGTGAACTGAAGCTCCAGTTCAAACATGTGATTGTGAAGTCCAATGGAAAATGCAGCCACAGGGTTCCTGAGAGCCCCAAATCTGCATCTTGGCTACAGTATGTCTTTAGTGATATTTCATTTGTTCATCATTAGAGTACTGCAATGCCCATAACATTTTATTATTATGTGTGAACAAAGATTTAGGAAAGCACCTTCTCAAAGTATCAGACTTCAAGAGCTGGACAAGGTGAGATGTATGCTTAGAGTACAAGTTTACAAAGCTAAATGTGCAAAGAAGGGTTTAACCACAGGTAGTGTTTTGATATGTGTGGAAAATCCTAGTCTAACTGACATGCTAAAAGAATTTGAACCAAGAAAACAGAATAAACCCAAGCTGTCTTATATCTGCAGCCTTTAGTTCCCCAAACCCCTCTTCTGCAGGGTAAAATTTAGTAAAAAAATCTTGCACTGCACTGTCAGGTGGTGGAACATAGCAAAACATTCATTTGTTTCATCTTTCTTTCCCTAAATGCAACCATGTGTTCCTACTTTGCAGTGGCTTTCCTAGCTTTCTCCTGTAGGAACAAAATTACGTAGACTGGTGGTAAATAGGGACACCCTTAAGACTTAGTAGTTTATCCACTGTCCCTCAGGACAGGTGGAGGAAGTGGGAGTTTGAATGTCAGTCGTGGATTTGGCTACACATTTGCAGAAAAGGCAGAATGCGCCTGGGCTGCTCAGTTCTCTCCAGACACATTACATCTGTGGCAGTGAAGCAAGAAAAGAGTGCTCTCTGCCTGTTATACACATTCCTGAATGCATCCAGTCCGAGATCCAAAAGGAAGCCCAGGCTGCAGACTAGAGTTGAATGAGTTGTTACAGAAAGGAATGACCAGGTTAGATATGGACATCTAGGGTGTGGATGCCCCCATCAGTATCATTTGAGATGCTCTAGGGATCCTGCCTGACCACTCTCTGTGGCTCCCATAAAAAAATAAGTCTCATGTAGCTCCTGCATCATCTGCTGTGGATGCCTTGGTTCTCTAAAGGTGTCCTAGCACAACTTCCCACTGGAATAATGGAAAAACCTCCATACCTAATGTCTGTGTGTTAAGACTGAAGGAACTATGACTGTGTACTCTCATCTAATGTCTCGTCTCCTCTCCATTTTCAGATGTTACTCCATCTCCTTCAGTCTACAGGCTGATCTCTAAAGATGATGAGGATTTGGAAATGTGCCTTATCACAGATTACTCCCCTGAAAAGCTTAAGAGTAAGGCTGATAAGCAGACAACTGCCCTCGTGGACGTGGCAACACCCGAGAACAATCAGGAAGTGAGCTACCTGTCAACCTACTGGGCCAAGAAAGATGAAATGGAGTGTGGTGCAAATCATGAGGGCGTTGGAGAACTGAAGGGCGAGGATCCTGAAAGTGGTAATGGCATTTTTGGATGTGTGTACAGGGCTAGAGGTAGTCTGGTCTCTGTACTATTAGCATGAGCAGAACTTGTTCACATCTCCCAACCCTGCAAGCAATGCTGAATTATGGTCCCACACTCCAGAGGAGTGTTGCCTTGTTGCCTCTGTTTTCTTTTGCCTTCTTCCTCGGTGGAAACAAGATTAAGGGTCAGTAGGCTGGTACAGTCACAGCAGAGCTCTTAAAATCACACTGTGGGGGATATAAAGCTTGAAATTCATTTGTCTGATGAGACTCTGAAGTTTAATTAGATTAGATGTTATGCTGCCCTGAAAACAGCAGAAATGGGGGTTTACTGGCCAGAAACTCTAATCCAGCCCTTCTAAGTAGAGCTAAGAAATACATTTCTGTTATTAATTAAATTTATTGTTACTATCTGCAGGTGCCAGCACTGTCTGTGTTACAGAGGTGTCTCTAAACTTCAGGACAGGTATGTACACAGCGTTTGAGGAGTAAAGCTTGGCCTGATTAAAGGAAATGTCTTCCCAAGTTTTTGCTAATGTTCCTTGTTTGCAGAATTCCTGTTGGAGCAAAAAGTTCAGACTGGAAATTTCCAAAAGGGCCCCACAGGCTTTAAACATCAAGGCTGGAAATCATTGGGTTAATGTAGTCTTCCAGATATGAGCTGGTAATTTTATGTGACCAGTGTAGGCAGTGCCTACATGTTCTTGCTAGGACTAGCCAAACAACTACTCCCCCTCACATAATGATTTAAGGTACTGATATGAGTCAGCCTTACTGGATGTTTGTCTGCATTTCAGACTTCAAAAGAGTTGGGTTTTTTGGGGGTGCACAAACACCTAATGAACCAAAAGATAAGCGGGTGGTTTCTGCAGTGTGTGCTCAGAAGCAGGCTTGCCCTAAAGATATGGTGCATCTGAGCATGCTTTGCTTTAGCTCATGGCTGTGGGAGTATATTAGCCAGTGCTGGAGCCCAAGCAGTTGCTGTTCCTGCTAGTTCAAAGGAGCTGAGCCTGTCTTTGCACTTGCCCTGTTTGCAAAACAGCTGTACTTTTGTAAACATGCAGCCTTGCTGAAAATAAACCAATTAGCCAAATGTTTCCAAAACACCACTTCAGAAAAATACTCACGGGTAAACTTGGGTGATTTGATCAGTCATTTCAGAGAGAGGTTTTCAAAGATAAACATAAAATGACTTTTTGATAACAGCTCCCTGCTTCCCCAATATAGAACAATGTATTTTCAAATGAAAAAGGCTTTGTAACTTAAGATTAATAGAAGATCCAAGTAGACTTTGTGTTCTTTGAATAAAATTTAACTTGGTTTTTCCTCTGGCCATCTTAAAAAAAATTAGGTAGAGGGAAGAGGGACACCTCCAGCACCCTGGGTTCATAATACACTGTATTTAAAACAGCTAGATGGCTGGCAGACTTGCATATTGGATACTTAAGTGGTTATTGAATGAAAACCTGGCCCTTGAAACACTAACTGGAAGAAATGAAAGTCTCTCAGTGAGACAGTCCTGCTCACTGTCTTGTTAGCTATCCTACAAGCTGACTCAATCACACAAAGTGGAACAGCTTCATTAAGAAGTGCTTTTAAGTCTGTCTGGAAGCGAGGATGTCTCACTGCTTTTGTGACTTTCATTCTCTGTTACTTTTACAGATGAAAACCTGAACATGCTGTCTTTATCACATCTGGGCCTGAAAGTAATTTTAATGAAAGCAATAATTTTTAATGTGCTGATGACGATGCTTATGTGGAAAAAAAAGTGAGTATGCATGGGGGGTAGTAAAGCCTCTGACAGAAAACTTCTGGATCAGTTCATTAGCTATGAATGTTTCTTCTCTCTGTAATAACTGTTTATGCAGTCTATCCATGCACCTTTTGTCTATCAACGGTAAAATCCCTCCACTCCTTTGGCCATATCACTGTTTTTGATCACCCCTCATTTCTATTTAGTTTTCCTTATCCACACGCAAATTTAACTTTTTTCTTCTTTCTAGACATCTCTCCCTTCTATTTCTACATCCACCCCTTCCCTTATCTGCATTCATCCATCAGATTCATCCCATGACCAGTCTCCAGCTGCGAAAGTTTGATGTTTATTGACTTTAAGACCTCAGACCTAATATATTAGTTTTGGCTCAGTATCTCTTTCTCCTCTTTCTATTGCCTAGACACTTCAGGTCTATAATAGTGTAGCTGTGACTGTATCCCAAATAATGATTTAACATACCTTTATTTTTGTTACAGGAATGCAAGTAATTAGATAGTGCAGTCCTGAATTACCAAAAAATCTGCTGAGGAATCTTTACCAGAGCATCGTGTGCAAGAGGGAACACAGGCATTCCTGTTGCAAGGGATATCACTTGCCGTTTCTGGATATCACACCAGCCATTATAGTCTAAATTGCTTTATTTGCATTGTTATAAAGCTACTTAAAAACAAGCTTAAAATTTTGCTGCTCCAGATGCCTGATTCATTTAGCATGACAATGCTTCTTTTTGCATGAAGCATAGTTTGCTGTAACTATAAACTGCCAAACATCACTATTATTTGCATTAAAATGACACACAATTTCTGCTTGGGGCAGTGTTCTTTCTTGAAAACTTCAAGCTAAATATCACTTGAATGTTAATTTTTCGTATTTTGGTAGCTTTCAGGTATGCACTCCTTAGAGTGCACCCCCACAGACACCATTTCAGCTGCAAATGAAACACTCACTCTGAAAAGCAAAGGGAGACTTATTCAGGGTGCTATGCACCATGTCCTGCTATCTCTTGCTAGATCAGAGCAAGGTATCTTTTTTTTTCCCCTAAAAGATACACTGCTAGGTCTCCCAGAATTCCTGAATTCAGTGAAATTCTCACTTCATTATCACAGAACAAAAGAATGTTTTTTTAGTATTTTTTAAAGTCTATCTGGCCGTAACATTTTCTGAATTTAAACCAGCTTAAGATTTGGCTTTGCATTTAGTAAAAATACAAACTACTTTTGTTCTTTTTGTTTAGTTCTAACAACCTTAGATTTCCCAATTTCTTTTTGTAATCTTTGCATAAAACTATACTGACATATTTACCTGTCCATGTGTGCACTCCTTGGAAACAGTGCATGCATGTGAAATTCGCATGCTGCTAATTCTTGAATTGTACTGGCAACCACACTGATGTCTTGGCATTTCTTTAGGCCTTTGGCTGCTATTAAAAAATTCTTATAAAAAAAGTAAGAAACTTGTTTGTCTTTTAATGTGTAGTTTGAGGACCTTGTTTTACACTTCAGATGAGCTTTAGAAATGAGCCTGGCTTTTGGGGTGAAGGAGGGAAGGGGAGTCCCGACTATCCTCTTCAGCCTGACTTGGCCACCAGGCACTGTTTGCAATAACTGGCTGGATCCACTGCGGGGTGGGGAATAGCTACAAAGTCCCTTTCTGGGACATCCTTGCTGTGTCTGGGTGAGAACAGCATGGCTGGCTCGGAGGGAGGGAAATGGAGGAGAGCACCTCTCCTCCAAGAGTAGACTCTGCTATGTGAAGACAACAGTAAAATATGGCTTGCCCACAGTGAGAGGACTAGTAAGCAGTCCAGGCTGTTGAAGGCAGATGTCTACTGCTATAGGGAACAGAGGAGCCTGAAGTGTCCTGCCTCTCAGTGTCCCCCACTCCCAAGCGTCACTGGAGAACAAGGTACCTACTTTGCATTAATGACACCAACTGACCAGCCTATGTCTCCAGGTTCAGTCTGTCACTGGCAAGACTGGAAATGAAATTTTCTCCTTTTGTGACGCTGATTTCTCTGTCTTCAGAAGAAGCAGCAGAGATTCCTCTGGAGTGAGAAATGAGAAGGGTGCTCTGAAAGAAACACAACCTCCCTTAAAAGCTTGAACCTCGCACCACTGCCTAAACTGAGTGGCAGGGAAAGCCTCACCAGACTGGTGGGGGTGATTCCCCCTCGCAGGGTATGTCCCACCCTGCTGGATTCACAGCCATTGCAAAGAACTCTGATTTTGGAAAGGCTCATGCTTGAAACGCTTTTAGCCAAAAGCCCTGGTGTAGGAACATATTTGCTAATGGTCACAAGAGCATTCCAGACACCTTTAGAAGACCTTGAACACAAGATGATAATAAAGCCAGTTAGAAGAACACAAGTACGCATTCCATGATAAAGCGAACTTGGCACAAAGAACCTCATTTCGGCAGTTTATCTTGACCAATTAGACTTAGACAAGTTTCACATGTTTTAGTTGGTATAACCAATTATGCCTTATGTTTATGCGTGTGTACAGAGATGGTATAACCAATCATATTTTATGATTGTGCGCGTGTACAATGACTTTGCAGAATATGTGATTATAAATATGTGTGTGTTTTAGCAATAAAGGGTCGTCTGTCGTCTGCTTTCAACTTTACAGGCGTCCGTTTATTTCTACCTCCTGCACTCTGGTGCTTCATGTGGGACAGGGTCCCCGTGTGAAGACCATGCCAGCTTCCCTGCCACAGGATCTGGCTCTGCAGTGCTAAGCAGCAACACAACAGTCTCCCTGGTCTTCTGCCACAGTGCTGCCACCTGACCATTTAGCAGGTGGCCTGTCACAGGCTGACAGAGAGTTACTGACCCCTGCTGCCAAGGAACAACTTCAAACTTGCTGGGTGTATTATCCTGATTATTTTATAGTACAGATGTCCAGTGACTCATTCTCTTGTCTCTCCCTTGGCACAAGAGTCACTCTCATTTCTCTCCAGCTATAGAAAGCCCATGGATCTTTAAATGCTAGATTCCAGGCAGCTCTTGAAGCTTACATTTCATTCATAATGAAGTCTACCACTTGACAGGGAAACAGCTTGATGAAGCTGCCTAAACCATATTTGAATTACAAAGCAACTCGTGGCATTTCCCATGATTTCCAACTGATTAACCTCATTCCAGAAACCTTCAGGAAGGTGGAGGAAAAGTTTCCATGCTCATTTACCTTTAGCATCACTTTTTAAAACTAATACCCATCTTAAATTTTTTGTGTTGCACTTCAAACCCACTCCTAGCTGTATGGTCAAGGAGGAAGGACAGTGTGCTCCCTCTGTTTCCACATCTCAGTCTTTTCTCTTCCATGTTAAACAACCCCAGTGATAAGATTTGCTGAGTGGGGGGAATGAGTGTACAGATAAAGTCAAATGTTTTGACTAAAGTGACTCTTAGCATGTGATCTGCAAAACACTAAATTTGTAGTTCTAGTTCAAAGATATTTTCAGATATTAGGCTTTCAATCTCCCACCACCACAATGTGCCCCCCCATCACCACTTTGTGCTTTCTTGTTTATTTTGAGAAAGAAAAACCACAGTGCAAAGCAAAGGCAGGAAATAACACAGTAGGACAGGATGTAGAAGGGGTCTCATGGCCCAGGTGGGGCAGGAAGAGGTCGTATCACCAGTTCCATGACGCCACAATTGAGATCTGGGTCACCTTTTGATGCTCCTCTACACTCTACCACAGAAACCGCTTCCTCTGGAAAGTAGCGTGCAAAACAGGGGGTAGGGGGAGCAGGGCTGGTGTGGCACGTGGCAGGGAGGAGGAGAAGTGTGTGGAAAAGGAGAGCAGACGTTAGACCACAAGCCAAAGTCGAGTGAGGTTAAGGCACCCTCCCTTCCTGCCCTCTCACCGCAGCCTGCTCTTGGGTCTGGGGGTCTTGTTTTGGGTATGGCAGGAAAGATTGAGCTATGCATAGTGTAGGCAGGGGAAAGAAGAATAGAAAATACATTATAAAGTGTGGTGGGGAGAAATCTTAGAAGTGTGTAAGATTTCTGAATTTGTTGATAGGCCTCTGCAGCCTGTTATACAGGCAGTGAATCCATGCAGAAAAATCCTTTCACTTCTGACCCAAAAGAGAAGGGAGGAAGATGGGACAGGCCAGAGAGTCCTCTCACATCGGCAGGGAAGGAGATGTTGCCATGGTCCATCTCTAGCACCCCCTCCCCATGCCAGCTCTGGCCCCCTAATACCTACCTATGGCCAGGAGATGAATTTGCATCTTTTCTAGGGGTTCTGTTGGAGAAAACACCCTGCCCAACCTTTGTCACCTCTCATTAAACATGGTCCTGTACACGAAACAGCCTCTTTTCTTGCCCTCTTCTACAGTGTGAACAGGGACCCAAGCACGGTCTTTATAAGGAGCAGGGCTTATCTACAGACTTGTTGAAGCGTAGTCAGATGTGGGAGTAGCTCTAATAGGACTTGAATTATAGTGCTGAGTTTATGGCAACTAGAGGCATTGCAAGGTGGTAAAAAATCAGGAAAAAAAAGAAACCCCACAGAAAACCCACGGTTCTTCCTTTTCCACAGGCTCCCATGCAATTCTTAGAATTGGCCACAGGAGGGTCCCAGCCTGGAGCTCTCTCTAAAGCCAAACCGTGGGGAGACCGAGTCACACAGACCCACAGGGAGGCACTCGCAGCTTGCACACAGCAGCAGGTGCAGTGGCAAAGGTGGGGGGGACCCTGAGCTGTTCCTCCTCCTGTGAAAGCACATGTCTCTGTCCGCCATGGGCCTGGCTCAGAGAGGGTCCCTCTTATGGGAAAGAAGAGCTCAGTGGCCCATTTACAATCCCTGCATGCTGCCGAGTCCCCTCAGTACAAAGCTGGTACCATTGTAAACAAATCCAGCTTGATGCCTGGGGCTGGAGGAGAGGGTGGTGTTAGACCTGGCATGAATTCCCTGTTCCTACCACAGACCCAGACAGCATCCTTTGAGACAGCCAAGACCCTGCTCCCTCATACCACATTCTTCAGAGGCTATGTTAGGCAAAAGCCCCAGGTTTCACACTTTTATGGCTTTAATGGCTGCAGCACAGCTGGAAATGCTAAAAGATGGTAAACAGGAGCCATAATCTAATGATGAGGTTGAAGCTATCATACCCCATGTTTTATCTCTTGAGCACCAGCAGGCAAGCATTGCTTTGTCACATAGCCTCAACACACGTTACCTATCCAGCGTTTCACCCGCGGAACAAACTAGACAAGCATGAAGGAGGATCAGTACAAGGATGGAGCCTCATGCCTGAAGGTAACCCAGGTAAATTCTGCAGCCAAAGGTGTGGAGCAGCTAGCTGGAGTTAATATCTCATCTTGTGCCCACCATCAGATCACCACAGGGCTCTAATTTTCCATCAGGACAAAGAAGCATTTGGCCTCAATGCAGGGAGCTAGCCTGGGCTTGAGGAGGCAACAGCCAAGGGCCAAAGTTACTGAGTTTAAGCATTTCACAATGCTTTAAAGGGGGAAGGATTTTCAATAAGGTTAAGTCTGAGGGGTGACCTTCTCCCTGGACTCAGAACAGCTCAAGTGCAGATCTGTCCAAAGCACAGACACAGCTTGGCAGCCCCTTCCAACATCCTTGGGTTTATCACCACATCAGACTGAAGAAGAGCTAACACTGGTAGGGTGCCTGTACCACTACCAGGCCTTAGTGAGCCTCTAAGTCCAGCTGGGACATCTAGCTGTGCCCCACGTGCCTTTGAGGGATATCAAAGGGCCTGTAGGAATATGGGTACACCTGGGGATGTGCTGGAGGACACCATCCACTTCCCTCCATTCATGACCACTAACCACAGCCTAAGCCAAATTTTCCACAGCTTTGAAGCCTGGGGGTAGGTTGGCAATAGTTTCCATAAGATAAAGGGGCAGGAAACAGGGAGATGAAAAGGGTAGATGACAACTGTGTTTCCATGACGACTTGTTTCCTGCTTCCTTCTGAAACTGGAGCACAGAAAAAAAGCCTGCTAGTTAGAAAGGGAGGGACGGGGGTAAAAACAGGGAGTCATGCCTGAGAGGGAACTTGGGTGTCAGAAGAACCTCTGCATTTGTCACCAAGAGGGAAAAGACCACAGTACTATAAAGGGTTTTATTGACGGAAAGGATTACAGTAACTGTAATGAGGCAGCAGACCCCTCTATAGGACAGTAGAACCCTCCATAGGGCTGCCTATGGGGAAAAATCTTAAGCCCTGCATCCCCTTCCTCCACCAAGGAAGTAGGTCAGAGTCTGCTGGGGAACAGCATTTCCCAGTGCCAGGCTTTGGCATCAGAGCAATTCAAGACCTGGAAAAAGAGAAAGGCAACATGAGCAATGTTTCTGCGAAGGGAAATACCCCACAAGCTCAGATGATCTTGTGGCCCCCTTGCAACAGTAACAACAGGGCATGTCCTCCACTTTCCAGAACCAAACTTTCTCTGTCCCAAAGTCCCTCCTCTCATCTGCTGAGAAACTCCAGACTTGGACACCAGCCACACCATGGCCTCCAAAGTGACAACCCTCACAAACAGAGCCCAGGAGTTCCAGCTCCCAAAGCCCCTCTTGCAAAGAATGGGGTATTTCTCTCATAAGAGAGAAATGTGGGTAGGTTTCTGTAACACTCCTGGTTAAACTCCCTTTTAAATGATAAAAGCCAAAAAATACATGCACGAAACCAGAAAGCCATAAATCCTAACCCTGTCTCAACCTAGAGGACAACAGCTTAACTGTACTTGGCCAAGACAAAGCTGGGAGCTAGGACTCCTGGATTCGCTATCTTTCTAGTTCTCTCCCAACTCCACAAAAGTACTGAAGTCATGTGAGCTGTGGTTGCCCCTTTTGTGACCCCACGGAACAGTACCTCACAGTCTCTTCTAGAGCTCAGCCAACAAAATTGATGACAACAAGATGGAGGATGGTGTTGGCAAAGAGGAAATCAGCAAATGCCCGCTCCGGTGAAATGCCTTGGAACTCGCCTTTGTTCTGGGGGTTGATCTGGATCCGGAGGCAAACTGCATGGCAGAGAAAGAATGATTAGCAATCACAAAAGGAAGTCATGATGGGAAGCACAGTCTTCTTGGGGCAGCCCATCCCTGTCTGGGTCACTGTTCTACCAGGGTAGTACAAGAAAAGTTAACTCTGTCTTTATGAGCAGGACACTAGCAGGGGATTTGCACAGGGCTTTTACGCAAACAGCTCTCCCATAGCACTACACTACCAGGTGCGGCCAAGTGAGTCCAGAGGGGAACAGGCTTATAACAGGATGGGACTAACATAGAAATGGGGATATTTCTATGTCCTCTATTGGGTGTGTTGTGAAGGTCTGCACGGGAACAAGGTGGTTTTGGGGGCTTTTATGGGACAGCAACACCCTGAAGCTGTCAATGCTAGAGTTCGGGTTTCACCGTGGGACGGTTACTAAAGGGCACCAATACAAGACAGTGAAAGGAAGAGCTCCTTGACTGCCAGGGGGAAGCAAGGACACTCTAGGGCTGATAAAGAGCTGGGCTCTGTGGGGCATATGGGCAGGACCCCCACAGGTTCACAGCTGCTGTCGAGCATCCTGCTGCGGGGCAGGCTGGGCTGGCTGGGGCAGGAGCCTGGGGGTTCCTGGGAGCAGAACCGGGTGTTACGGGGCAAGGGAGGCGGTGATGGAGGTTGCTATGGGGACTCCCTGGCTGCTGGGGTAGGTTTGAGGGCTGCAGTGGGGGACTCCCTTGGGCTGCTGGGGAACGCCTGTGGCTGCTAAGGGAATCCTGCGGTTACTACAAGACATCTAGGCATTTCTAAGACAACTCTCCGACGTCCGGGGGCCTCTGCGCGTTGCTGGGAGTTCCGCGGTCGCTGCGGGAGGCTCAGGCTTTGCTACGGTTGCGAAGGGGATTCCAGGGAAAACCGCGCGGGGCCGGGGCGGGCGTGGCGGGGCACTGACCGCCGAGGATGAAGCTGCCGACGGCGGAGATGAAGCCGCTGAGGAAGGAGTTGAAGGGGAAGGTGCCGACGCCGAGGCAGTAGCCGAACTGGAGCGCCCCGGTGAGCAGCACGTAGAGAAGGTAGGCGTCCAGCACCTTGAGGCGGCTCGGCGTGCCGCTGCCGTACTCCGCCAGGAAGCGCCGCACCACCGAGCCCACCGAGCCCGCGGCCCCCGCGCCGGAGCCCGCCGCACCCGACATGGTCCCGCTGGCCAGGCTGAGGTGGCCGGAAGCAGCTCAAGCAAGCGCTTCCGGGGCACTGCGAGGCAGCGCAGGCGCACGCCGAACTCACCGCCAGGTCAGTGGATGCTGCGCAGGCGCAGTTGCCTTGCCCACGAAAGGGCGGGACTGGGAGGCGCCGCTGTACGCATGCGCATGCACCAGTGTCCCGAAAGGGGCGAGACGGACGGCGTTCTCAGCTGGCGCATGCGCTGAAGGATTTATGAGTCAGAGCTCCCGAAGCTTTCCAAGAGCCAATGAGAGCCAAGCGGCGCCTGTTGCTAGGCTGATTAGAGAGCGGCGCTTTCCAAGAGCCAATGAGAGCCAAGCGGCCCCTGTTGCTAGGCTCGTTAGAGAGCGGCTCCATCAGTAGCCGGTAGCATCTGGGCGAGGTGCGCGTCCACCCGCCGCGTCCCAGCCTGGGGCCCCGCGGGTCGGGGGCGGCCGCGGCCGCAGCGCCGGGTCTCGCTACCCGGGGGCAGCGCTCGCCCTGGTGCAGTGGGGCGGGGGGCCTGCCCGCGGGCAGAGTTTCGCCGTCCCTCGTGGGGAGCAGGCGAGCTGCCCGCCTGCACCTGCCCGTCACAGCTGGCTGCTGTGGGGCCGGCCTGCCCGAAAGGGCCCGTTTGGGGAAAACCAACACTGCTGGGAACGGCGGATCCTGCTGTGGCCTGAGGTGGCCCCCGCTGAGTGGGAGGGGAGAGGCTCAGGGTGTGAGTGTGCATGCGTGTGTTTGCTGACAGTTAACAGGAAGAGTGTCCAGATTCTTCCACAGGGTGCTGGAAGCCTGACTGTTGTGGCCCCCTTCTCAGAGCTGGGGAAAGGCAAAGCATTGTTTTCCTTCCTTTTAATTAAAAACTCTCACGGTGGTGAGCCTGAAGTGAGAGAAAAATGAGTGCTTCTTTTAAGGGTAGGGGGGAGGACTTTTGTTCAAGAGACCAGAAGCAGAGCTTTTCTACCCAGATCTTCCTTCTGTTTAAATCATTCCAAACCAGGGATGCTCTCGATGTGGAGAACTGATACTTCCAAACAGGCTCTGAAACGAAGGTGGGGCATTTTCCTATCTCCTGCCCTTTGGCAGAAGTGATATTTGTGTGTCACTTGAACTACATCATGGCATCAATCCTGTAGCCTGAATCTTTGGAGACCTTGTCCCTTGTAACTTGTGTGCTTGCTCCATGTGGATGTCTTCTCCTTACTCACACTTGGGATAGGGATAGAAATACCCCCAAGAAACAACAGTTGTTTTTATGTGATAGAGAACGCACCCATCTGGGGAGTGGACAGGGGAAGTGTGTACACACTCCCTTCTTTGGTTTCAATTTGTGTACAGTGTTTCACCTTTGAAGTCCATGTTTGTAAGTGGTAGGGCTGAGCTGGGATGTTTACAGGTGCCCCATCCTTTGATCAATGCCTCCAGTGCCTCCTGAAGGAGCCTCAGCCTGTAGAAGAGACCTACATTTCTGAGGTCAGTTTCTGTGGTTAGGAGATGGGACTAACAGCATGATTTTGCTAGGACATAGTCTGGGAGGTTACCTGTCGTTCTTCTACAGCCTCTAGTATCCTGATGTGTTAAAGTCTCACCAGTCATAGAAGTAATTGGGACCTGAGCATGCATATTCCCCCAGGGTTTCTCTGCAGTGCCCATAAGGGGACTAGGGCCTTTTTCCCTTGATCATTGCCCATTTCTGTGGCATCTCTGGGAATAATCATTTGCCTGTGTCCCCTCTCTTTCCAGCACAGGAGCAAAGGCATGTGTGGGAATGGGTTCCACAGCCATGTCCCTTGCTTCTTCCCTCAAGTGGTAGCAACTGCTGCTTTTGTGGAGGTCCTCTGCATATTCACATCTATAGAGAACCATCAGAAACTGTAGGGTTTCTTCTTCACCTTACCAAAGCCAGACAGCTCTATGACACCACGTCCTGGGTGAAGATGGTGGCTGCAGTCTTGGGGCACTCCAACAATTTTGGTAGTGCTCGGGATTGCTGGGACCTGTGGGAATTTGCCATGCTGATGAGCAAAGAAAGACAGGTTGGAAGTCATCTCCTTTAATCAGAGAATGCCTACATTTGTTGTCTTCTCCATGGCCCTAAAGAACAGTGTTTTGGGAGGAAGATAACAATTGCTACCCCAGAGCTAAGCTGCACATAAAATACTGGTGAGCTATGGAATGGAGAGGTGAAATATAAAGTAGTGGACCTCCAAGTTCAAAAGGTGGTGATCAATACTGCAAAGTCCAACTGGCAGACAGTTATTAGTGGAATCCTTTGGGGACCAACATTATCTTATTAACAACCTGGATGGTGGGACAGAGTTCACTCTCAGCTAGTTTGTGGATGATACCAAGTTAGAAGGAGCAATTGATATACTGGAGGGCAAGGCTGCTATTGAGGCTGACCTTGACAGGCCAAGAAATGTATGAAAAGAAACACTACCAAGTTCAGTGAAGTTTAGACCAAAGTCCTGATCCTTTTGTAGGATAACCTCATGGAACAGAAGAGTCTTGGAGCTGATTGGCCGGAAAGCAGCTTTGCAGAAAGAGACCTGGAGTTACTGTGAACAAGTGAACATGACTCAGTAAAGAAAGCATTTTTTGGCCGTCTTAAAAAGAGCATAGGTAGCAGGCCAAGGAAGGTGATTCTTCCCTGTGTTCAGCACTTGCACAACCCCTTCTGCAGTACTGGGTTTAGTTTGGGTCTCCCCAGTATATGGTAGACTTTAGTATACTGGAACAAGTCAGAGAAGGCTTACGTGGGAACTTACTGTGACATTCAGCTACCTTTTGGTGGGGTACATAAAAGGCAGAGCTAGATTATTCTTGCAGGTGCACAAAGACAGAATGAGAACCAATGAGTGCAACATGAGAAATTTCAGTCAGATATTCAGAAAAGTTTTTTTCACAGTATATTAAACACTGGAACAAGGACCCTGAAAAATTCTTGAATATCTTGTAGATTTTCAGAACTGAACTGGACAAGGCCTTGAGCAGCTGCTCCAGTTTGGGCCTGCTTTCAGTGGGAGTTGAACCAGAGATCTCCAGAGGTCTCTTCCAGACTATATTACTCTGATTTATGATCATCTAATGATGCTACAAATGATGATTTTAAAAACACCCTACAAGGACCCTATAGTCAGGTACTCCTATTTTCTACACTTCTAACACCCTTGCAACTCCCACAGAGATTTTCTGCCCATTTTTCTGTAGTACCACTTCCTTTTGCTCCCCTTAAGCATCTCCTTGCCCACTAATAACATATAATGCAACTGAAAGTGTAATTGCATCTATGTATTGCATGTATTTGCCAGGTGATGGTAAGGCAAAGAGGTACAACAGAGCAGAGTAGCACAACCTTACCTCCATCAAGAGTTGAGTAACAGAGTGTAATGAGCCATGACAGACAGGACAGTGCAAACGAGCTGAGTGTAATGAGCCCTGGTCTGGATCATGTATTAACAAGTGGCAGAATAATACCTGAACCTGCTGGAAAGACATATCACAATATCATCTTGGATGGTTCCCACTCTTACATCAGAACTTCCTCATTACCAAACATCCTATGCTGTTGATTTATTACTAGCTCCAGGAACATCATCAAAGTAGAGAAAAACATGTTACAAATAAACAGATCGGCTATAGCTTGGAGTCCCCCTCTTTCTTCCTGTACAAATGGTTAATGGTAATTTTGTTTATTTCTTCTTGGTGCGTGGTGAAAGATTTCAACCCAACCTATAAATTGCTTCCCTCAGGAAGAGGGAAAGGATTAACAGTCAGAGTTTTGATTCCTGCAGAACTGAGATTTGCAGTAATGTCTGTTTGTCTTTTCCTCCTCTCACAGCCACAAAATGGGCTTGTTATGGTTTAACCCCAGCCA